GCAGCACTAGTCACAATCGCCAAAAGGTGGAAATAACCCGAATGTCCGTCAATAGATGAACGGATAAACAAAATGCAGTCCATCCATACAATGGAATATTACTCAGCCATAAAAAGGAATGGAGTGTGAATTCCCTGGCGGTCCAGTGGTTATGACTCAGCGTTTTCACTGCTAGGGTCCGGGTTCTATTCCTGGTCTGGGAACTAAGATCCCGCAAGCGGTGCAGTGCAGCAATTAAAAAAAAGGAATGAAGTTTTGATATGCGCTACAACATGGATTAACCTCAAACATCGAGAACATCAAGCTGAATTTCTTTTACAAAAGAACCACCTGTTACGTGATCCCATTTATATGAAATGTCCAGGACAGGCAGATCCGTAGAGACAGAGAGCAGATCAGTGGTTGCCTGGGGCTGGGGGAGGGGGAACAGGAGTGACGGCTCATGGTGCCGGGGTCTCTTTTGGGATGATGGAAATGTGCTGGAAATAGATAGTAATGATGGTTGCACAACATTGTAAATGTACTAAATGCCACTGAATTGTTCACTTTAAAAGGGTGAATAGTGTGGTATGCAAACACAGCCTTAAAAAAAAAAAAAAAGGAGGAATGGGCAAAGGTGCACAGTTGGGGGAAGGGCAGGCTGTGACGCGTAAGAAGCTAGGCCAGGCCTGTTCTGTGTCATCTCCTGCAGCCACTGTCCCCAGAGGCTCCTGATACCCCAGCGCCATCCTGGTGCAAGGGAAGAGGCGGAGACAACATGTCTTTGTGACCAAACCACCCACAGGCTGCTGGAGAGACAGAAGAGGCAGGTATCTGGGGAGGTAAACTGAGGCAGCCTGTCCCCCTGATGGAAACATGCATCCTGACTCATGGTGGGATGAGTCTCTTTCTCAAGAGAGAAAGACTCAGAGGAAAGGAAGTTGAGAGTGGGGGCAAGTGCTCTGGAGAAGCCACCTTACCCATTTTACAGACTGGAACACTGAGGCCAGACAGGCTGAGTCATCTGTTCTGGGCTGAACTGCAGCAGGAAGAATCTTTGAACAACTCACAAATCAGGTCTCTAACTCTTCTGCTCCAGAACGTCCACCCCCACCCCCCACCAACTTAAGAATAAAACTCTTAGGTCCCCAAGCCCCTGGAGGCTGTGACCTCTATCCATCCCCCTCACCTACTCCCCACCAACCACATCTGCCACAGGGCCTTTGCTCTTGCTGTTCTGGCCTCTCTTCACCATTGGGCCCTAGCACCACCTCTTCCAGGAAGCCCTCCCTCACTCCTGTTCCTCACACTTTCACTTGTCACTCGCCCAGGTTTATTATAACTCTCTTTGTGATGATTAGATTAACATCTGCCTTCCCTACCCAATCAGGAACCCCTCATGCCTGGACCAATTCTGACCTGTTCGGGACAGGAATTGGTATACAGTAGGTGCTCAACACTGATTTCCTGAATCAGTGAGGGAATGAAGCTGTGAAAGGGGGTCTACTCCAGTCTTGATTCCTGGAGCTGCTGGGAGGAGCTGAGGGATCAACACTCAGAGGAGCACCAGAATAATGAGTACACAGCAAGCGCTCAATAAACACTGGACCAGCGTTCTGCTAAGTAAGGTTGTCCAACCCACTGAGGTAGGGCCCTCAAGCCAGTGCCCTGAACCCCTTCCTCTATAAAATTAGAGATGGACAAGTAGAGGCCCAGAAAATGACCCTCCTGTGGGTAATTTTCTAGCAGCAGCAGCAGAACTCAATGTGGCTTTAACAAAAAGAGAACCAGAGTGGTGGGCTTCAGGCATGGCTGGATCCGGGAACTAGGACTCCACCTCTTTCTGTTCCTGTCCTCCCTGCAAGCTTCTCTTCCAGGCAGGCTCAGTCTTCCCCCAGTGGAAGCAGGGTGTTCATTTTTCCCATTCATTTCAGCAAGAATTTCTGGTGGTGCTCAATAAACACCAAACTCCTACCCCTTGGACCCAGGGGGTGAGTTTGCCAACACCAAGAGCACATAACTGGGTCGTGTGCTACCTGTGGGCCCAAGAATGGGATGGCCAGCATGGGGGCATTTAGCTCCCTGGAGGTTCTGCTGTGTATGTGTGTTGGGGGGTGGGGGAGATGCTGGACTTGAGGTGGGTAGCTCTGAGCCCCTGGGGGTCAGGTCAGTCTGGTCTTTCCCAGCATCCCCTCCCTCCTGTCCACTTGGTTCTGCCACTGTCCGGGCCTCTTCCTCAGGCTGGAGTCCAGCCTTAAGGAATGAGGAGGGCTGATCCTCAAGGGAAGGCATATCTAGCAGAGGGCACTTGAGCAAAAGCTGCGAGGTGGCAAATCCAAGGGAGGGAACATTCGCAGAACAGTAAGCAGCGCTGTAGCTGGAGCACTCGGACCAAGTCTTCTGTTTCCCCATCTAGATGCATAGATGGGGAAACAGAAGACCCCCAAAGAGGAGGGGTCTGGACCTCTAGATTCCCGGCCCTACTGGCTGCCAGACCTCCCTCACCTAGAGGTCCCATCTCCTGTTGCCACAAAATTCAGTGGTACTGGGTTTTAATCTCCACCCAGCCCTCGTTTAAAACCGGAAAAGTCTGTTTTGGAAACTCCCTGGGAGGTGGGAGGGGGGCTGGGCGGACTGGGCCTGGGAGACACGCGCCGCTGCTGCCACCTGGTGGCCACGCGGGGAATCAGAGCCAACTCATTTAAGAATGAGGGGAGGACTTCCCTGGTGGCGCAGTGGTTAAGAATCCGCCTGCCAGTGAAGGGCACGAAGGTTTGAGCCCGGGTCCGGGATCCCACATGCTGCTGAGAAACTAAGCCCGTGTGCCACAACTACTGAGCCTGCGCTCTAGAGCCCGCGAGCCACAACTACTGAGCCCACGTGCCACAACGACTGAAGCTCACGTGCCACAAAGACTGAAGCCCACGTGCCTAGAGCCCATGCTCCGCAACAAAGAGAAGCTACCGTAATGAGAAGCCCGCGCATCACAACGAAGAGTAGCCCCGACTCGCCCCAACTAGAGAAAGCCGGTGCGCAGCAATGAAGACCCAACGCAGCCAAAAATAAATAAATAAATACATTTATTTTTTAAAAAATAGAATGCGGGGAGGTCGGGTGGCAAGGGTACAGGAAGCGGGCAGGTTCAAGGTGTGTCTGGGGGGCACGGGTCCTGCTGCGGGGCGTTGGGTGTTAGGACCAAGGAAGAACCCCAGGTCCCGGCCTGAGCCCTGGGCAGAGGGGCGGGGTTGGGGGACAACAAAGACTCTTGTTACTAGCGGTCTCAGCCCCACTGTCCCTTGGGCTGGTCCACCACCCCCACCCCCGCCTCCCAGTCCTAACTTTGCAGAGTTCCAAGTGATCATCTAGCTCCGTCTCCCCCAGATTGGGTTCTCCTGGGGGCACCCAGAGGGAGAGATTAATAAATGTGTGGAATGAATAAATTAATTCTCAGGCTCCTATTGGGGGATTTTGAGCAGGACATTCAGGCTTTAGTCAGGGGAAAGATACTCATTTATTAAGTCTCAGACACCGCCCCCCACCCCCAGCAGCTCTGTGAGGTCAACATTATTATCATCCCCATTTAATTAATTAATTTTTGGAGTTTAGGTGAATTTTTTCTAAATTGGGTAAAAAACTAAACAACAAAACAAGTTAACTGTTACATTCAATTTAATTACTGAATCAGTAAGTTTATATTAAAGTCCTTTTTTTTTTTGCGGTACGCGGGCTTCTCACTGTTGTGGCCTCTCCTGTTGCGGAGCACAGGCTCCGGACGCGCAGGCTCAGCGGCCATGGCTCACGGGCCCAGCCGCTCCGCGGCACGTGGGATCTTCCCGGACCAGGGCACGAACCCGTGTCTCCTGCATCGGCAGGCGGACTCTCAACCACTGCGCCACCAGGGAAGCCCTAAAGTCCTTTATTTTAAGATTTAATTTCATTTATTTTGGGCTGCATTGGGTCTTCATTGATGCGTGCGGGCTTCAGTAGCTGTGGCACGTGGGCTCAGTAGTTGTGGCACACGGGCTTAGTTGCTCCGGGGCATGTTGGGATCTTCCCGCACTAGGGATCGAACCTGTGTCTCCTGCATTGGCAGGAGGATTCTTATCCACTGCGCCACCAGGGAAGTCCCCGTCCTATTTTTTAAACCACTCGGTGATTTTTAATATTTAATACAATCAAACCTAATGAAAACTCTTTTTATATAAATCTTTAAAATTACTGGGAAACTAAAATTTAAATCCCATTCATAACTGCACTGCACAAATACTTGATATGCAATAATCTACATCTTCCCAAAGATGTTGTGGCTTGTAGTAGGGTATTTTCTTCCTCTCCACCATAAGTTTACTGAACTTTCTCCTTTGTTTTCAGTTTTTTATTTTCTTCTACAATTGCTTCATATTTCTCTTCCATTTCTGCCAATTCTAGGCGAAGCAGCTCTATTTCTAGATTTTCTGGGGTAGCAGCTCCTAAGCAATGTTTTAAAAAATCCAAAGCACTATTAGGTTTCTCTGGTTCTTCATATAAGACTACCAATACCTTGGTCAGCGTGTCCAGCACCCCCGACTTCTCCAAGTACCTCCGTAACTGATGGGCGGCTTTGTAATGAGCCGTAGTGAAAGCAGCAGCCGCGTTTCCATTTTATTTTTTATTTTATTTTACTTTTTCACCCCCATTTTATAGGGGAGGAGTCTGAGGCCAGGGAGGTGCCAATGCCCCCCCTCAGAATGCTTAGAGCTCCCATTCTTTTCCTCACACCTAGATCCTCCAAGCCTGGAGACCCTGCAATGCAGCCAGGAACTCTGTGCCCAGATTCCCCATCCAATGCTTCTGGGACAGGATGCCCAGCCCAGGACCCTGGGATCAGCCTGAGACCGTTTGGGCCCCCCTCCAGTCTATCCCACACACCCCCAACAGGCCAACAGCGCCTTGCTCCATGGATGCCAGGCCCTGGCCCTGGGTAGCAGCTCCCGTTTCATGGCGGTTTGTAGGGTTCCCACCACAGGACATGTGGCAACCAGTGCTGGACAGAGTGGGTGTTGGTGGGGGGCACTGACGCCAGAGCCCGGGCAGTGGGGATGGGGTCTGAGTCACTCCGCCTGGGTTAGACTCCTGCCTGTGTTGTGTGGCCACAGGCCAGCCACTCGCCCTCTCTGAGCCTCACTGAGGCTCACTGAAATAGGTTAATAAGACAGCCATGTACCTCAAGGCGGCTATGGGGATTCAGGGCATCACGTGCCTAGAAAGAACAGGCTGGGTATGCAATAAGTACTTAATAACCGACTGTCGTGATTGCGATCATTGGTCTTCCTATCTGTAAGGGGAGGCAGATGTTTCTGTTTCTCCCTGGGAACGGAATTTGGGGGTCTGCCTTAGGTCTCCCAGGAGCAGCGGGAGTCCAGCTGCCTGGGCCGGGCTGTCCTCCAGACTGTCCTTCCAGCCAGGCCCCAGAGTCCCAGCCTCAGGGCATCCCTGCACCCATTTCCTGTCTTTCAAGGGCAGCTCCGTGTCCAGGGCTGGCTCAGGGGCACCCAGAGGCAGCTCCATCTTCTCCTTGAGAAGCACAGCTGTGTCCACGTCAGTTCGCTCTCCTTTGTCCCAGGATATGTTCACCACCAGGGCCCCTTGCTGGGACACCTCCTCTGGGAAGTCTGCCGGGCTGTTCCACTGCCAAACCTGGAGACGGACGGTGGGGTCAAGGCTGTGGGCAGGGCCCTATTTCTCATCCACACAAGGATGGAGTGGACCAGGTCCCTTCTGGCTTAATTCTCTAAAACCCGAGACCAATTCAAGGATCAGTTGGAAGGACCCCCCATTTCTCTTTGGAAAATTGTCCCTTCTCCTCTCTTAGTTGATGTGGTTGGACAGGGCAGTAGCCCCACGCCAGCTCTTGCCATTGGCATGTGATCCTGGCCCAGCCAATCAGAACACTCCTACCCCCTGGTTCTAGTGATAGGCTAAGGGATGGGCATATGACCCAAGCTGGGCCAATCAGTGATGTCCGAGAATTCTGCTCCAGTTAATGGGAAAAATGGATACCCTGCTTCCACAGGGGGAAGGCTGAGCCTGCCTGAGATAGAAGCCTGAAGGGAGGATAGCACCACAAAGAGATGGAGTCCTAGTTCCTGGATCCAGCCATGCCTGAAGCCCACCACCTTGGATTTTTTTTTTTTTCCATCAGGTTCCTTTGTGGAACTCACTTCAGTTCTGTTTCTGTTACTAGTAAATGGCCTACACGAGGTTCCCCTTTGGGTTTCTATTTGCCTGTCTATAAAATTGGACAGGCTTTTGGAGTTCTTGCACCAGTGGGTTGGGGGAAAGTAAAATGAGTTAATGCATAGCCATTACTCTTCAGAGCCCTGGTCCAGATATGGACCCAATAAACAAGACCTGGAATTAGAAAGGGGGCCCTTACCTGCTTCCCCTGGCTGCCAGAGAACTCGACGGCAGTGCTGGCACAAGGTGTGGGCAGGGGTGGGCACAGGTGCCTTACAGCCCTGGGGAAGGAGGAGAACTGGTCAGTGCTTCTGTTCGTTCCTACTTTTTAATAGTTCTGACTTATTTTTTTTCATCTCCATTAGGTTATAATAAGGGGAGTGAGGATGTGGCCAAGGGGTCAGGGGTACGGGAGACTGACAGGCCCGGATTGAAATCCCAGCACTGTCGCCACTGCTGGATGCCTGGGCCTTACTATCTGGGCCTCAGTTTCCTCATCTCGAAAGTGGACATAAAAACCTACTTGGGGGGGGAGCAGTTATTACTATTCTTACTATCACTATTACAGATCATCTCGGGGGAAGGGGTGCAAGTTACCTGTTCAAGCCGAGGTACCCAAAGATTCCCAGGAGAAGGATGCTCACGAAGCTCCCAAAAGATGCGAGGAAGATGGACAAATCGGATGACTCAGAAACCTGGACTTCTGGGAGCAGAAGAGCTTGGGCTGGGGGAGAGCCGCCTCCTGCTTCTCATTGAGGAGGGAGTGGGAGGGGCGGGCCCTCCATCAACTCCCTGCTGACCCTGGCATACTGTGAATCCCTCTGTGCCTCAGTTTCCTCCTCTGTGAAGTGAGACCCCGCCTGCCCTGTGACTACAGGATAAAGCCCTGGCACACAATAAGTGCTCAGGACATGTAGCTCCGAGAGCCTGCAGGTAGGGCCCGTGTGGTTGCTCCCCCGGACCCAGACCAGCCCACTGCACACCCAGTCTGGCTCACTGGTTCTCTTGGGACCAGACTTCACAACAAGGACAACAGGCAGGGACCGTGGCAGGAACAGGGATCATTTGGTCTCCAAATCTCTCATTGCCACACACCCCAAGACAATGGAGCCCACCTCCTTATGTTTGTGATGAGATACTCATTCATTCGTATTCATTCATTCACTCAATAAATAGCCCCCCTGCTCCCTTCCTTTCCCCAGGAGCTCCAAGGCTGGGGGAGGCAGAGCCCACACAGACACCCACACACACTCCCAAGGCGTCAGGCCAGGTAGGAGGGGCAGTGGGGGGGGGGTGCCCAGAAGGAAGCCTGGAAGGCTTCCTGGAGGAGAGAGCTTTTGAGCTGAGTTTTGAAGGATGAATAGGAGTTTGACAAGGAGACCAAACATTCCAGACAGAGAAGCCTGCAAGGAAAAGCCAGCGTAAGAGAAGGTTCATGAGGAGAAGCTGCAGCAGAGGTGAAGGAGTTGGGAGCAGGTCAGCCTGCGACTTTCTCCTGAGAGGGATGCATGGGGAGCCATGGAAGGATGGAGGATCAGGGTGGGACTGCTTGCTGACATGTGGGATGGGGCAGTGCATGCTGGGTAAGTACCCGGGCCCGCCCCCTCACTCACCGACGGTGAAGCGCAGGGCCTGGCTCCAGGCACCCCGCCACTTGGCTGTGTCTGCTCGAACCTGCACCTTGTAGGTGGTGGCAGCCCGCAGGCCCTGGAGGGTGATCTGGGTCTCTGTGGCATTCACTGACAGCTCTGTGGGCGGGAGGCAGCGTGTGTCCCTAAACCCCCTTTACTCTGGGCTCCACCCTGGGGGTGGGAGTAGGGGCTCACAGACATTTTGCTGAATAATCTTCCCTAAATGCACCCATTCACATCAAACTTATTTGGAAAATATTCTTCATCAAAATATTCAGTGAATGATGCTGTTTTTTTCTCAAATTCTGACCAATTTGCCCTTCACTCGCTCCTAAGCCACTCCTTTCCAGCCGCATCTGCCTTCTCCTCAGAGCTCCCTAAAAGGCACCAGGTTCAATCCCAAACCTCAGGGCCTTTGCACTGGCTGTTTCCCTGGCCTGGTTCACCCTTTCGCCAGATAACTACATGCCTTCCTCCCTCACCTCTTTCTCATCTTTAGGGACAAGGTCAGGGTTAACTTTGTCTAAGTTGTTCCCCGAGTGTCCCCAGCACCTCAGCACAAAGTTGGATCTCAACAAGTGTCTGTGGAATTGGATGATTTTTAAAAAATAAAGCACCCCATAAAATTCTTTAAAATGAGAATACAGTTGTTGGCTGTCGTACAGAAGAAAAATTCCTAGAACCCTAAATCCATATTCGTTGTAAATATTCAAGAGGAATATTCTTCCAAAGAAATTTCAGGGAAGTTGGTACATTTGGCCAAATGGGCATTTGGTGCATAAATCTTCAGCAATTTGACTTTTGGCAAACTGGTGTTCAGCAAATGGGCTGCTTCCAGCTGCGCCACTGTGAACAAGTCACCGACTCCCATTTGGCCTCATTTACCCCCTCTAAACAACGGAGGGTGACCAAGCTGATGGCAGAATGTCTATGTCTGATGTCAGAGCAGCCCCCGTTCCCCCCTCCTCCCCCCTCCGCCCCCCTCCCGCCCCTGTGCTGGGCTCGAGGAGGGAAGGCAGGATATAAACTCATGGTCTTGGCGGCCTGGCCTGTTGCTGCAGGAGATGGACGGGCGAGGCTGTATTCTCGCAAGGCTATGTTACCCAGCGGGGAGGAAGAGGCTCCCAATGTGGGAAATGACAGGACGTTTCAGCCCTGGTGAGACCTGCCCTGTACATCCTCATTTCTTTCCCTCCTATGGGGCAGGAAGGGGCACCTAACTGAGCTCAAATCCAAGCTTGTTTAGCCTTTGGGCAGGTGAATCCCTTCCCAGGCCTCAGTTTCCCCATCTGTAGAATGGAGAAAGTCATCCCTGCTCCATGGGAGTTGCCGTCTAAAGGGCCAGTCAAGACCCTTGAGTCCAACTCTATTGTTCCATGGGTGTGAAAACCAAGGCCCAGAGAGGGACAGTGAGGTGTCCAGGGTCACACAGCAAGGCAGAACTCAAGGCCAGAGCCCTTCCTCCCCCAGCCAGGCCTGTGCTGCCTCACGTACCGGATACTTGGTTGCTGGCCTCATCCTGGCAGCGCACAATGTACTCCTTCAGGACGCCAGGGCAGGTGCTCAGCAGAGATGGTGTCCAGTCCACAGACACTGAATCCTGGCTGAGTTTCTTTACAGACACATGTTGTGGGCTCCCGGCCTCCGAGGCTGCAACCAACATCCTTTACCACAGTCAGCTCCAAGTGTGCTGGTTGAGTACTTCCTGCCTGCCCAGCCTGCTACTGTCCAGAGACCCAGGGAACCTTGGCCACAGAGTCAGCTGTGTCTGCCAGTTCCACCACTCTTGGTGTCATCACTTCCCCTCTCTGAGCCTCAGTTTTCTTACTATATAATGGTGCAATGCCTCTTGGAGTATCTTAAGAGTTGACTGAGCTGACTTCTATGTGTCTGGCTTCTGGCCAGGGCCTGATAGGCAGTAGGTGCCTCTAAATGGTATTCCCCCTTCCTGATACCCAAGGACACTGCCGAGTCCCCTGGGGAGACCACCCTGCAGGTTTGGGCTACTCACCATTGCCTCCAAAGTGGAAGGTGGACAAGACGGTGGACCACGAGGTGGGCTTCTCCGGGTGTGCAGAGGCAAAGATAGTGACGCGGTAACACTCCTTCTGCCTCATTGCCCCAGATGCTTGGCTCAAGCTGTGCGTTGCTGGAAGGATGAGCAAGGGTCAGACCAGTAAATAGATTGTGTCCCCACCTCCGCACCTGTGCCATCTGCCAGGAGCTCTTAGAGCACTCCTACCCATGCTTTAAAGCCCTTGCACCAATGTCCCCTCCTCCAGGATTCCGTCCTCATGCCCCTTGCCACCCCATCCCCGCCCCTTCCCAACCTGTCCCCACCCCCTCCAGCACAGCTCCTACTCTATGGCGCCGGGGTGTCTGCATCCAGCTCTGTCTCCCCTGGCTGGGAGCTCCCCAGGCTGGGGCTGAGGCTTCCTGGGGCCCCGGCCAAGACCACGTCAGAGAGTGAGAGGCTGCTTGGGCCATTTGGCACCCTCCCTTTCCCTCCAGAGGCCTCATTAATTTGCCACCTGCATCTTGCTAGCTGCTACCTTTCCTGGCACGGGTGAATGTTTAACAAACACCCTGGGACGTGAAACTCATTACCTGCTGGGGTGCAACTTTCCCAGGGCTGAGCCCTGACACCCCAGGATCCCAGCAGGAAGCACCAGACCTGCATGAGTGGAAGGGTCTGTCTTGGCCTGTCCCCACCTCTGTGTGACCTTGTGCAAGTGGCAAGACCTCTCTGGGCCTCAGACACCCCACAAGGATGATGTCTGTAGGTTTGAGCTGACCAGGAGCTCTAATGGAGGATGCAGGGCAACCGATATTACGGTACCCATTCCATCAGGGTCCCGGTCCTGGGGTGCCGTCAGGGTGCAGGTGGCAAGGCTCTCGTCCTGGCCCTGGGGCTGCCACTCAATGCAGTATGTCATGCCCTGGGCCTGGGCTGGCCAATGCATGGTGGTCCTGTTGGCTCTGGTACTGATATTCAGAACCCCTGGTTCTGGAAGAAGACAAGAGAGGCACATCAGAATAGCTGCCTCATGCTCTCCCCAACCCAAGGCTCCTATAGCCCCATCCCACCCTCTTGACAAGCTCTAACCCGCCAGGGCCAGGAGTGTCTGTATCTGGTTCTGTCTCCCTACGCTGGGGGCTGCCAGGATGGGGGCTGAGCACAGAGGGGACAGCAGGGGCTGTTTGAATGAATCGAGTCCTCCCCCAGCCTAACTGTGGGTTCCCTGCCAGGGTGCCCACAGTCAGTGCTCCCTAGGCTGCCACTACTACCCTGTCAGGCTAGTGGGCATCTCCTGGTCCAGCAGATGCCTGGCCATCCACCACCCACCTTGCCCAGCGGTGGGTGGCTGTGGTGGAGGAGGAGCCTCCCGGCTGGACCAGAGCTCAGAGCCCCGAGGACAGACCCACTCAGCCCCCTGGGCTCCTCTCTCCACTCCCTACAGCAAGGTCACCTGCACCAACCTGAGAGGTGGGTACTGCTTCCAATTCTAGGGACAATAGCTATCATTTATTGCGTTCCGACTGTATGCGCCAGGCCAGTGCCGAGCATTTTACAGGCGCCACTTTCCCACAAAGTGGGACCATGATTATCCCAATGATATAAAACCTGAGGCTCGAAGCCGGAGAGCCACCAGCCCAAGGTCACATAGCGAGGCCATGGCCCAAAGCAGACCAGGAGCTGACAGACTTGCTGCTGTGTCACCCTGGCAAGTGGCTTCATCTGTCTGAGCCTCGGTCATCTCATCTCTGAAATGGGCATCATCCTAACAGCCCAGCTGGGTGCTCAGCAGGCTCAGGACTAAGGTGAAGCGAGCAGGGCATGAAATTAAGGAGGCGCCAAAGAACTCAATCACCAAGATCAACACTCTTCTAATGCAATATTTTTTAAAAAATCAAAATGAACCTAAAAATATGTACTGAGTACTATTCACAGTTGCCAAAACAATGGAAACAGCTCAAATGTCCGTCAGTGGAAAAACAGATAAACAAAATGTGGCCCATTCACACAGTGGAGTATTACTCAGCCATGAAAAGGAATGAAGCACTGATGCCTGCTACAATGTGGATGAATCTTGAAGACATCAGGCTGTGAAAGAAGCCAGACACAGAAGGTCACATAGTAGATGATTAATTCTATGAAATGTCCAGAGCAGGCAAATCCACAGAGACAGAAAGCAGATTGGTGACTGTCAGGGGCTGGGGGAGGGGGAGGGGGAGTGACTGCTAAGGGGGACGGGCTCTCCTTTTGGGCATGATGAAAAGGTTCTGGAACTAGACAGAGGTGACGATTGCACGACATTGTGAATGTAATTAAGGCACCAAATTGTACTTGTTAAAATGGTTCATTTTGATATGTGAACTTTACCTCAATAAAATACATATGTTTATATACATACATATAAACCTTAATTTTTAAATTTTAGATTTATTTTTTTGAGGTGACACTGGTTTATAATATTATAATAATAAAAATGTTTCATGTGCACAATATTATATTTTGACTTCTGAATACCCTACTGTGTGCTCAACATGAAACATTTAGTTTCCATCTGTCACCATACAGTTGATCCCCTTCACCCCTCCCCTCCCCTTGCCTCTTCCCCTCTGGTAACCACTAATCTGTTCTCTATATCTAGGTATTAGTTTTGGTTTCTCCATCTATTTAGTCAGTCAGTTGTTTGTTTGTTTGGTTGGTTGGCTGGTTGGTTGGTTTTTATATTCCACATCTGAGTGAAATCATAGGGTATTTGTCTTTCTCCAGCTGAATTGTTTCACTAAGCATAATATCCTCAAGGTCCACGCATGTTGTCACAAATGGCAACATTTCATTCTTTTTCATGGCTGAGTAGTATTCCATTGTATACATGCACCACATCTTTTTTGTCCATTCATCCATTGATGGGCACGTAGGTTGTTTCCATATCTTGGCTATTGTGAATAACGCTGCAATGAACATAGGGGTGCATATATCTTTTCCAATTATGTTTTCTTTTTCTTTGGATAAATACCCAGAAGTGGAATTGCTGGATCATATGGTAGTTCTAGTCTTAATTTTCTGAGGAATCTCCATACTGTTTTCCATAGTGGCTGCACAAATTTACATTCCTGCCAACAGTGTATGAAGGTTCCCTTTTATCCACATCACCGCCATTGATTTTTTCATTGTGTATAAATATATGTATATATTTAATATATGTATACATGTATATAAAATGAGCAAAATGTCTAGATTTTAAATAAAGACAGGATCAACCCTGTATTTGCATGACCCTGCCTTGCTTGCCACATCCTGATCTTGGCCCTGGTCCCAATAAAACTTTATTTACAAAAACAAGTGTTTGGCCTGGGCCACAGTTTGCCAGTGAGAAATTTTTTAACTATTACACTATAGCGCTATGCATTTTTTAATGCTATGCATTTTGAATACTTACTTTACACGCTCCTAAATTAGACACCACATTACATTTTTGTGCCTCGCTCGCTTCACTCTAGTCTAGCTGAGGCTCGAGTACGTACTCAGCTCCAAGAGGCCCCCCCCCCACCACTGCCCAGCCAAAGGCACCTGAGTGGGTATAGGCAGGAATGTGCCATGTCTGGTTGGGACCGAGGCCAAAGCGATTCCGGGAAAAGACAACCAGGTCATAGGCGGCACCCGAGAGGCCGAGATTTTTCCGCAGGCGCAGAGTCCTCGTGGCCTTGGCCTTACATGGGCAGGACAGCATATGCAGGTGGACATGGTAGGTCACCTCCATGCCTGAGTCGGGCCCGAGGCAGCCTTCTGGAAGCTCCAGCTGGGGCAGCTGTTGTGAGTGTGAGAGATGGTTTGTGGGGATCTGAACATGCACGTTGTCCCCGTGCGTTGACATCAGGATGCTGCCCACGAGCACCGGCTCATCCACGGGCCACAGCTGATGACATGTATGAAAATTTTTTTAAAAATAGTAAACCTCAGTGCTGGCAAGGCTGCTGGGAAACTGACACATCCACTGCTCATTGGTTTAGGGGGAGGGGGGAATAATTTGGCAAAACCCACTGAAAGCCAGAGAAAAAAAATGTTTCTGTCTTTGGACCCAGTTACTTCGAGCCTGGACATTTTTCCTAAGTAAGGAAATTCAAATTATAGGAAACCTAGGACGAGAAGGAGCTTCACTACAGCTTTATCGTGCCAGCCCATTGGGGACCTGGCGGAATCAATTATGGTGAAGCCAGGGGTTGAAATGTATGGTGAGTTTGCCCTGACTCAGGCAGGGGATTTCCCCTCTGCGCCTCAGTTTCCTCCTCTGGAAAATGGGTTCATTCGACTGTACTTAATGAGCTGTTTGGGGGACTTCAAAAAAATCATCTCCCATCCAGACCAGCACAGTCAACCCCTTCCTGGCCTTCCAGCTTTCACGTGAGCCCCCCAAACTCTGCTCCCCCAATGGCTGCCAGAGGGAGCCTGTGAACACCTGAGTCCAGCCATATCCTTCCTCTGCTCACACACCCTCCATGGTTCCCCATTACCTTCAGAGTTCAACCCACAGTCCTTCCGGTCCCTACCACCTCCACGGCTCATCTCCCTCCTTTTAAACACTTCCACTCCAGCCTCTTGTCTCCTTCTCTCTGTCCTCAGGCCACCCCACAGACCTGCGATGGTCCCATTACCTGCTCATGGAAGGTCACCTTCCTCTTCCCATTCGGGCGGAGCTGCTCCACCGAGAACCTCACCTTGGCCTGTGGGGGGTTTTCTGCAATGAGACAGCAAGACAGTGACACTGGGGGTGGCGTCCTTGCTCACAACGTCCTGCAGACCCTGGATTGGGACCCAGGACCTTTTCCTTCCCTCCAATGAGATTCCATGGGTCGTTAAGTAGTTTTCAAAATCTGCAAACATGGAGATCCACTCCATGATAGTGTGAATATACTTAATGCAACTGGCTAAAAATGGTTAAAATGGCAAATTTTATATTATGTCTTTTTTTACTACAATTAAAAAAAAATCTGAAAACAGCCGTCAGAGTTGTTTCCCAGCAGATACGCACTTGGGTGGGCAGGAGGAAGCTCCAGCTCAAAGGGTAGGGGGACAAATGTTGACAGTCACTCCCCCCATCTCTCCCTCCCACCCCCACCTCAGGCCACGTCTCCACTCTGGAGCTGCCCTGGCTCCAGCTTCCTGTGTCATTTGGAAAAATCTGCCTTCACGACACAGCCACTTGCACCCATCAACTCCTTGTTCGGCTTTCAAAGAACAAAACCCACCAAACTAATTGGAAGGAGAGAAAGACTGATAAATGTTTTCTTTTTATTATGGATTTGCCACATTTTACAAAGTGAAACTTGCCCACTGCCCTGCCACCTTGCACTAATTTTCCCTAATTTCTTCGGCAGCCTTATTTCTAACATCCATCACCTTAACGCTAACGCTCACCGCCTTATTTCTAATACTACTACCATCTTTCTAATGCCCGTCTCCCTTCCTGTGGTCCAGGGTGCTCTCACCAGGGGGGATGCACACAGGGCTGCTCCAGCTGCTCCAGGGACCTCCGGAGACCCCCGGCCTCAGCCGTCGCCGCAGCTGGAATTCCTGGGCCGTGTCCATCTCCAAGGGGCAGAGGCATGACTCTGGGAAGAAGCAGATCAAACATCAAGCAAAGGGGCTGTCCCAAAGCCAGGAGCACCCAGGGCTTGGCACTGGTCACTTAGCCATCATGCACATATTAAGCTCCAACTGTGCACATGCACTTATTGAGTGCCAGCTGTGTACAAGCACTGATTGAGAGCTAATCATGTGCCAGACCCTGAGGACACAGCCAGAATAGGCCAGGTCCTGCGCTCTTGGGGCCTCAAGGATCACCCACTTCTTCTACTGTCTGGAGTTCAAGTCTCAGCAAGGCCACCTACTAGGGATGTGAACTTGGCCAAAGGCTTCACAAGCCCAAGCCTTTGTTTCCTCACCTGTGAAATGGGAATAATCCAATACTGAACTACAGGGAGGCGCAAACAAGCCTACAGAGAATTTAGCACTGGGTCTAGCACACAGTGGGTGCCTAATTAATGCTAACTTGCTACCGCTGTCATGGTCACTATTATTCTCACCGAAGCCAGCATCATCCTGATGTCCACAGTCGCCCTAAAACAAGACCATATTTATACATTGTTTTACATTTGGCTGTTGAACATTCTAGCTTTTTGGAAATTTTCAACAATTACTCTGCTAAATGTAACATGGAACCCTGGATTGGATCTGAGAACAGAAAGAGGACATTCTTGGAAAAGTGGGTGATAATCCAAATAAACTCTGGAGTTTAGTTCATAGCGAGAGACCAGTGACAGACAGACTTGGGAACGAAAGCCATTAACCTGTGGGGACGCTGGGTGAAGGCTCTATGTACTTCTTTGTAACTTTTCTGAAAATCTAAGATTATTCCAAAATAAAAAAGTTTGTTTTTTTTTTTAAAAGCATTATTTGGGGGAATTTCCTGGCAGTCCAGTGGTTAGGCACGTTCACTTCCGGGGCCCGAGTTCAATCCCTGGTCAGAGAACTAAGATCCCACAAGCCGTGCGTCGAGGCCAAAAATTAAAAAATAAAATAAAATAATTATTTTAGGAGGCAAAATTATATTTTTATAATTTCCTAAAAAAATATTTTAAGAGACAAAACCTATCTGTTTGTGGTGTCGTGGATGAGGAGAGGCAAGTTTAGGACCCAGCTAGCCCCACACTCCCCGGCTGTTGCTGAGAGGTCCCTGGACATCCTGAGCCTCAGTTTCCTCATCTGCAAAGGGGGGCTGAGAGGGTCCACTGCAGAGTGTGTTAGGGGGCTGGAGATAAAAAGCAAAGAGATGCCCCTCCCCAACAGGAGTCCCATGTCACCTGCCTCTGACTGATCCGAACCCATTCACTTGATGGGAAAACTGAGGCTCAGGGAGGGGCACAACATTTGGAGGGAAGATGGGGCCCAAACTGAGGCAACTCCCTGGACTCAAGATGTTCCCAGGCTGAGGGAGGGGGAGACACCACAATTCAGAAGCTGTGTGGGTGTTCTCTGTCTCTCCCAAACCAGGGACTCCTTGGGGACTTGGTCAGGGCTGAGGTTTCTTGCAAGCCTAGGCTTGCCCTGCTTGCAGGGGACAGAGGGGAGAATAGAGTGGCTGAAGCATGAATGAAGGTCCAAAGAAGACATACAGATGGCCAACAGGTACATGAAGATGTGTTCAACATCACTCATCATCAGGGAAATGCAGATCAAAACCACAACGAGATACCACCTCACACCTGTCAGAATGGTTATCATCAAAAAGACAAGAGATAACAATGGTTGGCAAGGATGTGGAGAAAAAGGAACCCTGTGTACTGTTGGTGGGGATGTAAATTGCAGCAGCCACTACGGAAAACCGAGTACAAGTTCCTCAAAATATTAAAAATAGAGCTACCATATCATCCAGCAATACCAATTCTGAGTATTTATCCAAAGAAAAGCAAAACACTAATTGGAAAAGATACACGCACCTTCATGTTCACTGCAGCATTATTTACAGCAGCCAAGATGTGAAAGCAATCTTAGTGTCCATCGATGGATGAATGGGTAAAGAAAATGTGGTACATGTATCAATGGAATATTATTTAGCCATAAAAAAAGGAAATCCTGCCATTTGCAACATGGATAGTCCTTGACGGCATTATGTTGAGTGAAATAAGTCTGACAGAGAAAGACAAATACTGTATGATCTCACTTACAAGTGAATTTAAAACAAACAAAAAACCAAACTGATAGATACAGAGAACAGAGTAGTGGTTGCCTGAGGTGAGGGGTAGTGTGTGGGCGAAACGGGTGAAGGTGGTCAAAAGGTACAAAGTTATCAATATAAAATAAATAAGTCCTGGGGTTGTAATGTACAGCATGGGGACTATAGTTAACAATACTGAACTGTATTGTCCGAAAGTTGCTAAGAGAGTAAATCTTAAAAGTTCTCATTACAAGAAGCAAAATCTGGAACATGCCTGTGTGGTGACGGAGGTTAAACAGACTTATTGTGGTGATGATTTCACAATGTATACAAATATCAAATCATGTTGTACACTTGAAACTAATACGATTTTGTATGTCAGTTACATCTGAATTTAAAAAAGGAGGGACTTCCCTGGCAGTCCAGTTAAGACTCTGTGCTCCCAATGCAGTGGGCAGGGGTTCAGTCCCTGGTCGGGGAACTAAGACCCCACATGCCACACAGCACGGCTTTAAAAAAAAAACAGAAAAAAAGAAAGGCGGGAGGGAGGGAGGAATGGTGGAAAGGTAGTTTCCTGGAAGAGGCAGCCCTTGAGCTGGACCCTGAAGGTGGGTTGGATTCACATGTGCTCAGATACAGAGGAGGGCATGCAGGTGGAAGGAACTGCATATACCAAGGCAAAGAGGCTGGGAATCCAGGGCATAGGCAAAGAATGATGGCCATTCAAAAAGGGGCCAGAGGAAGCATGAGGCAAGTGAGGGAAACTAGGGCCAGCTGAAGATAAGGATGACTTACTGAGGGTAGTGGGGAGCCATGGAGGGTGTGTGAGCAAGGGAGATCACAATCAGATCTTCATGTCAGAGAGACCCAGAGGCTAAACATGGGGCAAGAGTGGAGGCCCCATGGGAAGGGTGATAGATACAGAGATTGCAAAACTGATGGGAGAGGTGTGTGAGGGTGCCCTGTGCCTGTGCAAACCCCTGATCTGGGGAATAAACTCACCCACTTCCATGGGCTGCCAGGTGTCCGGTGCCGGAACTGTACCTCAGCACCATCCTGGTGGGCTGGGGTCTCCCACTCCATGAGCAGCTGCCCCGCTGACCTGGACACCTTGATGTTTCCTGGGGGAGGGTCGTATTTAACTGGAAGCAGAGTTGGGGGTTGGGAAGGGGAAGCCGGCATGTGTGTGAGCTGTTGGTCCTGAAAACTCTGGAAAATCTTCCCATGATCCTCCTGGCCCATAGTAAACCACCAAGCTCCCCAAATTTGAATCAGGGGCACCTCTACAGGTCCCATCTAAGCCTGGGGTTCTATCTAAGCCTGGGGTCAAAGAGTTAAGACTTATACACAGGATCCTATTAGTAAAGGTATCTTTAAAATATTAATACTCATTGCTGGCAAGGCTGTGGTGAGACAGGCACTTCTGTAAATTGCTGATGAGAGGGTAATTAACTGATTCTATTTTTTTCTGAAGGACTATTAGGGAAATCTTACTAACTTTTTAAGCCCACTTCAAGGAGCCTGGCCTGAGGAGAGACATCTATCATGCTTTCTGCATCTCGGTCATAGTGTGCCTGATTCTAGCTCAGGGCCTTTGCACTTGCCGTATCCTCTGTTTTGCTGTATCCACACTTCCCCATCTTTATTCCTACTGGATCTTTTTCATCCTTGAGCTGGAGCCCTCCCTGACCTCCCAGCAGTATCTCATCATGTGTAACGATCATGCCTTGTCCATCACCCTACATGAATCTGGGCTCCATGAAGGCAGGGACAGGGTTGAGATTAGGGTGAGGAGAGGGAGGCAAGGTTGTACAAATACAGGGTCAGATCCTGTCTTTATTTGAAGTTCTGGGGAATTCCCTGGTGGTCCAGTGGTTAGGGTTCTGCACTTCCACTGCAGGGGGTGTGGGTTCGATCCCTGGTCGGGGAAATAAGATCCTGCGTGCTGTGCAGTGCGGCCGAAAAAAAAAAAACCTGATATTTTATTTGTCATGGCTTTTTTTTTTTTTTGCATTAATATTGATTTTTTTTAAATGTTGCATCATGGGACTTCCCTGGTGGTCCATGGGTCAATACTTCGCACTCCCAATGCAGGGGACCTGGGTTCGATCCCTGATCAGGGAACTAGATCCCACACGCATGCTGCAACTAAAAGATCCTGCATGCTTCAACAAAGAACCCTCATGTGGCAACAAAGATCCTGCGTGCCACAACTAAGAACGGCACAGCCAAATAAATATTAAAAAAGAAAAGTTGCATCATGCTATGGTTTATAATGACTACTGAGGTTTTTTGGCACCCCCATAACATCTTGTGGCCAAGGAGGGTGCCTCATTCATCTCACCCTTGTCCCAGCCCTGTGCTGTGACCTCCATTGGCCTTGCCCATGTCCCCTGTGACTGAGCATGGCACACAGTAGCAGTTCAACGAGTATAAACTAAGTATATGTTATTGATTCGTGAAAACAGATTTTAAAGACCGAACACGGGGGACTTCCCTGGTGACGCAGTGGTTAAGAATCCGCCTGCCAATGCAGGGGACACGGGTCCAGTCCCTGGCCCGGGAAGATCCCACATGCTGCAGAGCAACTAAGCCCGTGCGCCACAACTACTGAGCCTGTGTTCTAGAGCCCGCGAGCCACAACTACTGAGCCCGTGTGCTGCAACTCCTCAAGCCTGCGCACCTAGAGCCCGTGCTCTGCGAAGAGAGAAGCCACCACGATGAGCAGCCAGAGCATCACAACGAAGAGTAGCCCCCACGCTCTGCAACTAGAGGAAGCCCGCACACAGCAATGATGACCCAATGCAGCAAAAAAAAAAAAAAAAAAAAAATTATAAGACCCAACAGGGTCTTGGCCACATTACAGTATCAAGGAGAAACCGGAAGCTACCTACATGTTCATCAGTAGGGGATCCGTTAGGGGACCATGAAATACTCTGCCAGGTTACATGACAGAGTTGGATGTAAAAACAGCTGGCAGTATCCAGCCCCTTGCCAGGGACCCAGAATTCCCTCAGGTCTAGGCTTGGGGACCAGAGGTTTCTCTGGGTGAGGAAGTGGTAGTGGAGAGGAAGAGAACAGGGTGCTGACCTGAGCTGTAGAGGTTCAGGGTAATGTTGGGGGACTTCTCTGTCCAGTTGGCAGCCCGGGATTCCACCCAGAGGGTGACAGCGTGGAGCACGGATATGCCATCCTGGTCGGAGAACTGCAGCTTGGTGGCTGAGCCTGCGGCAAAGTAGCAACAGCGCCCGGGCTTGAGGCTGCGGGAAGGAGGGTATCGGTACTGAGTCTCAGCGGCCACAGCAGATGATGTGCATCACATCCCAGAATCCTTTTCTTCCCCTTTTACCGCCGCTCCCCAGCCTGGGGTTTTCTTAGGGATCAACTTAGGACTAAGGGGTTTGGAGGATCCCAGAATCTCCTAACATGGGCTGCCACAGAGAGAAGGAAGAAATGAATAGATGGATGAATAAGTCACAGGGTGAGGATGAAGGAAGGACCACAGGGATCCTCATTGCCGCCCAAACTGTATGCCCACCCATGCTGACCCCACAACACAGATCCCCAGCCCTCCCTTCTGACATGAGAAACTGAGGCCCAGGAAGAGGCAAAGACACTGCCGAGCTCATACATCTGAGAGTAGAGGCAGGGGGTCAGGAGAAAAGGCAGGATCCTCACCAGCATCTCAGGAAGTGGCTGACCCCAGCTGCGGGGCCCTCATATTCCCAGGAACATTCATAACCAGCGTTGCTGAGTATCCGGTAGCAGTTTAGGTCCCGGGGGCCCGAAGCTAAGCCTGGAGGTTTGAGAACAGATTAGAGTGTGGGGGGGTGGGGTCCCCAAACTGACACACCCCAGAGAGGAATCTTTGTGACACTTATGCAATCCGGTGTCACCTCAGCCTAAACACGCTGTGACTTCCAGCACCTTCCTGTGCTCTTCCTGCCTGTCTCCTGCCATCTCCCTTGCACCTCCTCCTCCAGCCACTTCAGCCTCTTCACTGGTCCTCAAACACACCAGGCTCACTCCTACCGCAGGACCTTTGCATGTGCTATGCCCTCTGCCTGAAATGTCCTTGGCCCAGATCTTGACATTCCAATTTCTCCTTCAGTGTCACTTCTTCAAGCACTAGGCTATTTGAAGTAGCCCCCTCCTTCTCCATCCCTCACCCTGCTCTGTTTTTTTCCTAGCACGTCATTGTATGCAGGATATGCATTTGTGTGCCTCTTGTCCACCTCCTGCACTAAGCTGTGACCCCAGGAGGACAGCTGGGCTCGCAGCTGATTCCTTCATGTCTAGAACTGTGTCTGCACGTAGTACGTGCTTGGTAAATATTTCTGGAACAAAAGAATAGATGAAACGCCTTGCCCAGTGGCAGATTTTGTGACTTTGTTACAAGCATGAATGTTCCAGCAATGCTTTCCTCGGAGCAACTTCAAAATGTTTAACAGCTGCTTAGCCCCACATGCTGACCAATCAGGACGGACACAGACACCAGTCCTGCGACCCTGTTACGGAGTAGATGAGGCTTACAGAGGTGACTGCTCCAGGACACCTGAGTTTGGTGAGGACAGGCCATCAGGCTGTCGGGTTGGGGCTACTGAGACCCCTGTCTTTGGCTGGGCAAGAGGGAGCTGAGGGAGTGGCTGCTTGGGATGGGTCAGTCAGAGCCCAGTACAACCCCTTCCTCCCACGATGGGGAACTGCCCCAGACCTGAGTCTGCCTCCGGATACGGCGGATCCTGAAAACAGCACCCCATGGTGCCACAGGCTTCAGCTGCAAAGGCAATGAAGAGAAATGACAGTCTCAGCCTTTCACTTCAGGGGAGGGGGGCTTGCCCAGTGACCATCCACGCACTTGCCCACTTTCCCATCCTTGCACCCACCCACCCATCCACCTTTCTATCCATCCATCCATCCATCCATCCATCCATCCATCCATCCATCCATCCACCCATCCACTCATCTATTCAGCCATCCATCTTTCCACCCACCCACCCATCCATCCATCCATCCATCCATCCATCCACTCACCTATCCATCCATTCATCCATCCACCCATCCACTCATCTATCCATCCATTCACCCATCCATCCATCCACCCATCCATCCAGCTCTCGGGCCGCTCCTCTAAAGCAATCCAGGGTCCCCTGTACCTCTCCCTTTTGCTGGTCTCCAGCCCTGCCTGAACTCTATAAGCCCTGAAACCTTGCTGATCTCCAGTTTACAGAGAGGGAAACTGAGGCACAAAGAAGTTGCCCGAGGTCATGGAACAGCAGAGCTGGGATGAGAGTCCAAACCTAGTCATCTGCTGGGGGCTGGGTCCCTTCCCATTCGATTCCACAAGATGGAGAGAGAGTATGTATATTACATACACGGGGTACATAACACTATTTTATTTATATATATATATATATATATATATAAATATATATATATAAAATATATACTTGGTCTTTATCCCTTCCTTAGCTATTTCTCATTAAACTCTGGGATGTGGGAAAGATTCAGAGCTTCAGCCCACCCCACAGAAGACAAAACCAAGACCGGAGGGGAGATGCCCAAGTCTGACATCAGAATCCATGATCATCCAGCTCACATTTGATAGAGGGAAAGACTGAGGCCCAGAGACACAGAAACAAACCTGGGAACCGGGTCCACAGCCCTCCACATATACACACACAGCCCCCCGCCCCGGCAAGAAGAGCCATAGGGGACTACTCCAGGGTAGGGGACTCACCGCCCTGCCGGGGTAGCAGGAGGAGAAAGAGGGGGACCAGCCTGGTCACCCCCTGCCCCATTAGGTCCTCGAAGAGGGTGGCAATCCCGGACGAGCTTCTGTGCTGCTGGAGAGACCCCAGCCACCCAGTCCTCACCCAGGAACACATTAAAGCTTAGCAAGAAAAACTAAAAGGAAAAAAAAAGTTAGGTGTCGTGGCCCCTCCCAGGGCAAGTCAAAGTGAAAAAGAAACCCAGGAAGTCAGCCTGGGCGTGGTGGCCTCATTCAGACCACAAACACACCCGAACCCTGGACCCTGAGCCCCAGGTCCGGGGGGTCTTCTCTGCTGACCCCAGACTGAAGCTGGACACTGGGTGAGAGCCCCATGGGTGGCCTGGGGCTCTGTGCCCTTGGCCAGGTCTTCAGCCCTCTCTAGTCCACTTCTGAGACTTAGGAGCTAAATGGGAGGCAAGGGTCTTCAGACGTCAGAGTTCACTCTCCCAGTAAATTGTTATAAAGTGCTTGCTGTAGGCTGGGCCTTCCAAAAATGTCCGCCTCCCCGTTTCCCGAATTCCAGCCTCAGGGCACCCTGGGTTCCAGGTCTGGAAGAGTCTCCTTTTTTCCTTTAGACTCAACTTTGTCTTTTCTCTGTGTCTTTTTCTCAGCCAGAGGTGGAGAGGTTGGGGGGGGAGGGGGGTGGTCTCAGTTTCTGACCCTCTCTCCGCACTGTCAACAAAGGCCCAAAATGTCCATGGAGAAGAGCTGATTCATGCTACCAAGTGGATGAACCCCCAAAACGACAGGCTGAGTGAAAAAAGTCAGACACAGCAGCCCATATGTTGTATGACTCTATGCATATAAAATGTCCGGAACAGGCAAATCCACAGAGACAGAAGGTAGATTAGTGGTTGCCAGGGGCTGGGGGAGGGGAATGGGGAGCGACTACTCATGGGGATGGGGCTGCATTTTGGGGTGCTGAAAATGTTTTGGAGCTAGACAGAGGTAATTGTTGTACCATATCGTGAATATTCTAAATGTCACTGAACTGTATATATTAAAATGGTTAATTTTATGTTATGTGATTTTCACCTAAAAAAAAATGTTCTCGGAGCCCAGGTGGGCAAAGAACAGGGTAAGGGTCTCTCCTGGGGGAAAGCATCTGGGGAAACTGAGGCCCAAGAGGCCAGGAGGAAGCCCATTCTCTGAGAGCCAGTCCTGAGGGGCAGCTGGGCTGGCCAGGGTCAGGCGCCCAGCAGGCCATGAAGTCAGAGCCATCAGAACAAAGAGGCAGTGTTCCAGGCCTGGCACAGTGGGGACGGGGACCCTGTGACCCTGCACAGAGCAGTCTTCACAGGCAGCAGGGCCCAGGCCAGGCCAGGGGGCGGAGTAGGTTTGAGGCCTGGGGGAGGGTCAGAGACAGAGAGAGACAGAGACACAAATGGAGAGAAACATAAAGACAGAAGGGACCATTGGAGATAGGGGTAAACCCATGGCCCACCTCTCAATGATCCTGAGACCCCTACATCAGGTGCCCTATTTTGCAGATGGAGAAACTGAGTCCAGAGACACCCAGACCACTCAGGGTCCCAGCTAGAGGTGAAAACATGGATGCAAACCCTGAGGCAGGGCACCCTCCACAGTGGGGCTGAGCTTTGCACCTTCCAGAGTAAGACCCATGCCCCAGGGCTACTCCCTACCTCCCACCAACCCCCCTCCCGAAAGTTGGGCCTCCCAGGCCTCAGCTTCCCCATCTGCAAATGGGCTAGAGTGTGGATTAAAGAGGGTTGCTGCCCACCAGACAGCCAGTATGATTTATCATTCTTTGGGGGCTCGCAGTGGCCTCTGCTCTTGTCACACCTCTTTCCCATCCCCCCAAAGTCAGAGCAGTCACTGGAAAAACATCAAGGGGGGTGGGGCAGAGCTGGACACAGACGCCCCCAGCTCCTTGAGGTCAGGGGCTGGGTGCAGGGAGGGGCAGAGGTTAAGGGGGCCCTGCAGGGGACCAGGGAGGGCTGCCCAGAGTAAGGAGGTCTTGAACTGGCTTTGTAGAATTAAAGGGCATTCCCGGCAGAGGTCACAAAAGAGGCAAAAGTTCGGGGGATGATTTGGGGAACAGCAAGATGAACGTGGCAGGTCTGGGGCTCCATGGGAGAGATGAAGATGGTAAGGGGTGCCAGGGCCTTGAGTGCTGGGCTGAAGGGCTGGGCTTTTTCCCAAGAGCTTTTTCCCAAGGAGCTATGGCAGGAGTGTGAGAAGGATTCCAGCCACTTGTCAGGTGTTGTTTCTACACTTTTTGAAGTCACAGTTGGAAGCTCACCTTGAGGTTCACCGCAGCCCACCTTCCCCGTGCCAAATCTTTATACTCCCACCTCTCTTGGCCTGCCTGCCACCTACTCCAGGAAGCCCTCCCAGCTGCCCCAGAAGCACACCTGGGATATGTCCCCAGAGCTGTCCCACTTTCAGATGCCCCACAAACTGGGGGGAGGGAGAGGCAGGAAGGATAGGGTCATAGGCCCCCCTCCCCAGGAAATGGTAATGGGAAGAACCACAGAACTTCCCCACCCCCTCAGCTTCCGCCTTCTGGGGGAAGGACGGGTAGTAACCTTTAGCTCGAGAAGGGCTGAGCTTCTCTCCATGTGGTCAAGAGACCTGGTGCCCCTGAGGGGCATCTAAGGAGGATCTTGAAGGATGAGTAGGAGTTGGCAAGGAGAAAATCCATGAGTTCATTTAACGAACACATTTATTAATAAGAACATTTTTCACCAATAAGAACATTTCTCATTTACTCAACCAGGAGTTCCTGAGGCCTCCAGAGGATCAGTTGAGGATGTTTTAAAGAATACATAGTGGTGATCATTTTGTAAGATATAGAAATATCAAATCAATATATTGTGCACCTGGAACTAACATAATGTTGTAGGTCAATTATAATTCAATTTTTTTTTTTTTCGGTACGCGGGCCTCTTACTGTTGTGGCCTCTCCCGTTGCGGAGCACAGTCTCTGGACACACAGGCTCAGCGGCCATGGCTCATGGGCCTAGCCGCTCCGCGGCATGTGGGACCTTCCCGGACCGGGGCACGAACCCGTGTCCCTTGCATCGGCAGGCGGACTCTCAACCACTGCGCCACCAGGGAAGCCCTATAATTCGATTTTTTAAAAAAGAATACATAGGGGAACTTCCCTGGCGGTTCAGTGGTTAAGACTCCGCACCTCCGCTGCAGGGGGCAGGTGCTCGATCCCTGGTCGGGGAACTAAGATCCTGCACACCGTGCAGTGTGGGGCCCCACCCGCACCCCCCAAAAAAAGAATACATAGGTGGGACTTCCCTGGTGGTGCAGTGGTTAAGAATCCACCTGCCAATGCAGGGGACACAGGTTCGATCCCTGGCCCGGGAAGATCCCACATGTCCCAGAGCAACTAAGCCCGTGTGCCACAACCACTGAGCATGCACTCTAGAGCCCGCGAGCCACAACTACTGAGTCCGTGTGTCACAACTACTGAAGCCCGTGCTCCACAACGAGAAGCCACTGCAATGAGAAGCCCGCGCACCGTAACGAAGACCCAACGCAGCCAAAAATAAATAAATAAAAATTTAAAAGTAAATAAGTACATGTATTTATTTTTTAAAAAAAGAATACATAGGTTACCAAGAAAAGAACTCATTCATTCACTCCCTGATTACACTCCCTGATACTCTTCATGGAGATATTTGAGGAGGGTTTTGATGGATGTGTAGAAGTTTGCAAGAAAAAATCTATTTATTCATTCAATAAATGTTCTCTGATGCTTCTCAAAGAGAATTTGAAGTGGATTTTGAAGGATAGGTGTTCACCGTGGAAAAATTGCATTCAGTCAGTCCTCCAGTCGGTCAGTCAATAAATGCTCCCTGTTGCCCTTTGAAGAGGTCATTTGGGAAGGGGTTCTGGGAAGAAGTTCTCCAGATAGATCACAGGCATTTGAGACCTCTCTGGTGGCTTCCCCTCCAGCAGCTCCCCATCTGTCCAGCCCAACCACCTCTGGTACACGGAACCTCTCTTTCCTCAGGGTTCCAGCCAAAGTCCCAGAGAAGACTCTGATTGACTGAGCTTGAGTCACATCTCCATCTTGAACCAATCACAGTGACTGAGCTGGATAAGGACTCTAGGTCACATGTCCACCCCAGCCTGGATTACAGAACTTTTAGGCAGAACTAGCCAGAGACAGAAAGTTGGCCATGGTAGGGTGTGAGCTTACCATCACCTGGGGTATGCAAGCTCCAGATGAAGTCCATTTATTGTAGGGTTGTCAGATAAAACACACAACATCCAGTTAAATTAGAATTTCAGATAAATAACACATAGCTTTTTAGCATATCTATGTCCCAATTATTGCACAGGACATATACTGAAAAAGTATTCATTGTTTATGTGAAATTAAATTTAACCAGGTGTCTGTATTAGTTTGGTAGAGCTACCATAACAAAGTATCACAGACTGAAATCACAGAGTGATTTCAACAACAGAAATTTACTTTATTATAGTTTTGGAGGCTAGAAGTCCAAGATCAAGGTGTCGGCAGGTTTGATTTCTTCCAGGGTCTCTCTCCACGGCTTGAAGATGGTATCTTTTCCCTGCGTCTTCACATAGTCACTTCCCTTGTACAAGTTTGTATACTAATCTCCTCTTATAAAGACACCAGTCATATTGGATTCGGATCTACCCACATGACCTCATTTTCGTTAATTACCTCTTTAAAGGCCTTATCTCCAAATACAATCACATTCCGAGGTACTGGGGGTGAGGATTTCAACTCATGAATTTTGGGAGAATGCAATTCAACCCATAACAGTGGCTCCTTTGGAAAACGGTCTGGTAGTTTTTGAGAATATTTAAATGTAGAGTTACCATTGGACCCAGGAATTCCACTCCTAGGTATATACCCAAGAGAATCGAAAGCATATGTCCACACAAAAAGTTGTACATGAATGTTCACAGAAGCACTCTTCACAATAGCCAAAAAGTGGAAAAACTCAGACGTCCACTAATGGATGAATGAGTAAAGAAAATGTGTCTATCCATGCAATGAAATATTATTCAGCCATAAAAAGGAATGACGTAGTGGCGTTTGCTGCAACGAGGATGAATCTTGAAAACGTCTTGCTGAGTGAAAGAAGCCAGACACAAAAGGCCACATGTTG